TACAAATGATCTCTAATAAAGTGATGGTTCCTCTTGACATGTTTTGTTTTTTAGTGAATCAGATGATATCTTGTTATAGCAATTACAAAGGTGTTGTTGAATTTTAGTGATATAGCATCTACTTTGAAAACATAGTTGGGTCGAGGAACCCAAACCCAATAGATAAATAATCTCAAGTAAAATTCCAAACGAGGATTCAAGTACGATTTCAATCATACTACGTAACAGTGAAGAACAAAATGAAATAGAGAAAAAAGAACAAAAGACTAACAATATAATTCATGGGCACACAACCGATTAAAGAACCATTAAGAAATAAGTACTTTTACAAGACTCAACAAGACCGACATCTACTAAACTTGAAGTTTTCTATGGTACTTTTAATCTTATAGCACACAATCTTTCTTTTGCTCTCTTTTGGATGAACACGACTCACTCAGCAGGTTCTTCTCACGACTCAAGAGATTGCACTCAACTTCGTCACATAGATGGACACAACGTCTTCACACAAATGAATATGATGAATAATATGAAAGGTATGAAGTGTTTCACTAAGATCACTCTTCTAACCTAGCACTTAAGAACTTTGCTTTAAACCTTTAATGCTTACATCTTATAGCCAAGCAAAGATGAATGATAGGCCTTATTTCCTATGAAACCAACAGCCTAGAATAAAGGAAACTGGAATTACTAGAATAAAATCAAATTGGGTTTATTTCTTAAAACTAGGCAAGTAAATTGATATTATAATCTTCAAGATACGCAATGATGTGATTCTCGTTTCCTATATGAATGCACATTGTCGATGCAAATTTCCGCCGTCTTCAGTCTTGACGAAAATGCATCTGCAAAACAATCAACACCTTTGATCAAACACCTAAGCCTCACACGCCCATGAGGTGGGGGGGGGGGGAGTTAGGCCAATGGATCTCTGATGCCTAAGTCAGTTTCTCTAAGGAGAATAAAATGTTTAGGGCTTTTTTAGGGTAGCAAAAGCTCTGAAAATTTGGTAGAATATGGGGTATTTATAGGCCAGCCATAGTGTTAGGGTTTTACCCTACACATGACGGCATCGTATTGGCCAAGGTGTTTATGGAGAAATATTCTCAAAATATTCTCAAGATATTAAATAGGAGGTAATATCTTGAGATAATAGAGTAATTATCCCTAATTTATTTAAATTGGGATTACTTACTTGATTTGAGTCAATCTTCAATTGGGAATGTATTAAAGATAGGATTTAGGTAATTAATCCTTATCTTTAATTCCTTGCCAAGGGCAGGTGAGCTGTGGGCAGTCGAATTCAGCTGCTGAGACCTTCAGTGGTGTGAGCTACGCGTGGGAGCATCTGAGAAGCCTACACATTTATTGAGGGCAATCTTGTCTTTCTTGAGAAAAAAGTCCACGTGTCGCCTTTAGAATTTTTGAGATTATTTTAGGCTCCACAAATGTCACTCCCCGATCCCGACATACGTCCATGATCGACACATGACGTCACCAAATATCTGTATCTCAACATACCCCGCCTCCGAAATATGGCAAATCACAACTCGAGAATCAAATCGCATAGTAATTTTTCGTACACTTTATGGCTGCATCTAACTTCCTCGTTAGACTGCCTACGTACCCTAAACAGGGATCAAGCCATTCGTAGTTCATCCTTCACTATACTCTAACAATCATCACATAAATCGTTATGTCTCAACGATATACCACAATGCATATCATGCAATATGTCAAAGAACAAACGACGAAGCACAATCATATTCTCTAATCATCTTGCCATTCACCCATACCTATGAATTCTAACATCATCCAATAATCACCCCAATCACTAACACATACCATACGCTGAAATGCAGGACTAGAACGACACAGTTCGACCAAAGCCTACATCTCTGAAACTGATATCAAATCCCAGGAACCAACAAGTCAGTGGATACGATTTTGGACCATCACTCAATGGAATTGCAGAGTAAAAGGGATTACGGACCATCACTTAACGGAATCCAAGAGGATATGATTCCGGATCATCACTCAACAGAATCGTAGAGTATAAGGGATTTTAAACCATCACTCAACAGAATCCAAGTGGATACGATTCTGAACCATCACTCAACATAATCGCGGAGTAGAAGGGATCCTAGACCATCACTCAACGGAATCCAAGTGGATAAGATTTCAAACCATCACTCAACAGAATTGCGGAGGACCAAGGAACAGATCAACGACTCAAAGAAACAACTCATGAATTAAGTGCTCAATTTACAATGGATCAACGAAATGAAACAAATCACAAGTATTAAATTAGAATGGTCAACAAAGTGAGAAATGAAATAATGAAATGGGATATGAAAGAAGTTTCGGAGCAACAAACCCCATGGCAATGGGTTAACGGCCCATTACTAGCCCTCACATTTCATCGTATCATACCATCTATGCAAATCAATCACATTTCAAATATGCACGTCAAATCACATATCATAATCATCATTAGTACACAAGCCAAATCATGTTTAATAAACATAGGTCTATGGCTAAATATATAAAATCACATTTCAATAGAAATCACATTATAAAACCAAGTCATATTCACAAATAATACTAATATAAGAAATCAAGGTAATAGCCATATCACATATGTTCAAGTCACTCTCTAACCAATGTAGGCCCACTAGACTTCACTTAAAGTCTCCCGTAGTACTCATGTTAGTATTTAGAACTTTTCGAGACATGTTGACCAAAAGTCTGACTCTCGGTCAACGGTAAGGTCCACAATCCTACATAATTCGATCCGGAAGATCTGTATGTTGGATTTCAGATCCGTAACTTCTAAAGGTCCACATTATGCTCATAGAACAACATATTAAATTCTCATTGCAATCCGACAGTCGGATCTCCACCAATTGCTAGAATTAGGTGACGGTTGATGTTTTATTTTACGAACTTACAAACCCAATTTGGAAAGATCCGTATGTCGGATTCCCAATCCGTAAATTCCTAATATCCTCAAATATTATGTTCTATAATATATTAAAGCTTGATGATAATCCAACGGTTGGATCATCGATTCACATAATAATCAATTGGAGGTCTCTAATAAAACTATGTTCAAACGATGAGATTTCGGCATTTGGACTTCACATATGAAATTGGAATATCAAATTTAGCCTAAAAAGGTCAGGGATGCCTCAGCCCACGCACCTCCATGCGCTGCCGCACACATCGGCCGGCCGTCCCAAATCACCAAAAAATTCAACTAATTCCAAAAATTACCAAATTTTATAGAAATGAAAATCTCAATGAGTAAAGCAAGTTTTATACCTGTGGCCAAGTCCAATTTGGCCGGGAAAGGCCCTAATTTGGCTCGCACCTGTTGGAACCCTAGAATGAGTGAGCTTCGATTCTCCTTCCTCGGTGTTCCGACGCCCCTACAACTGATTGGGTCTTGTTCCTAGGTCTAAGGGGAGTTGATTAAGAGTGGTGATGGGTGGTGTAACTCGCTGGAACGGCGGAATCACCGTCGAGCACCTCCAATGCTCCGGTGGAGTTCCTCACGATTTTGGGCCTAAAAGCCCTCAAATTTGGGTAGAGGTGGTAGAGGGGAGGTTATGGACTAGTTTATAGGTGTTGGATTGGTGAATTTCGCCTGAAAAATGGTAGAAATTGGCTGCAATTAGAATCGGGTCGAAACTGGTTTTGTTGTGGGTGTGGTCGACAGGAAGAGGGAGGTCCTCCTCCTGATTAGCTGCCCCCACCTTTATTCTAATTGGTCCCTTCCATTTTTTTTCTGATTGGTACACACTAACTCTTACATGATTGACCTCTTTCCCACAAAGTGGAAATTATTTAATTAAAAACTATAGTTTAGTGAACGATTTCAAATGTCCATAACTATACCATTATAATCCGGACTTGCAAACGGCTTTCGCCTCTGCTCTCGTGGTTTCAAGATCTATTTGAAAACATTAATTATGACCTCGAAAGGTCAACGAATTTTAAATAATTAATTTCCAAACTTCAAACTTCGTAACTGGTTTAATTAAAATCTAAATTCAAATAAATTAATATAAATTCCTAAAAAATAGTATAAAATCTCAATAATATAAACACGTAGATTATAACAGTGAAATCCAGGCATATGATTTCACAACAAATTGCCCCCCCCCCCACCTACTAAGCTGCACGCAGGAAAAGGATAGTAGGCATAGAAATCCCAAACCGCTTGGGCTTGTAAAGTTGTTTCCCAATTTGAACTTGATCTCCTTTTTGGTTTTGCAAATAGACTTCTTCTAGGAAAAGGAAACCAATTGCCCCCAATACCTATTTAATTTTGCCTTAAGCAGGGGATTAAATAAATTTGGAGAGCAATCATTATTCCAACAAGGAAAACAAGCCAAAGGAAAATTTTCTTCCCCCTCCCCAAGCTTTCTTCTTCTCTTGCGCTTGCAAAGAATCCTCTCTGGTTGTTGTTCTTCTCTATGCCACACCAAAGTAAGAAAAAATTGAATTTTCTTTTTGAAATCTTTTGGAAGTCTTGGGATTTGAAAAATTGGCTTGGCAAGGGCCGAGAAGGCATGAGTGACGTGGCAAGGATGCCATGGGACTGCTGGTGGTGCGGCAAGAGGGTCAGCTGGCCTGGGCCAAGGGGATCGGCGTGTTGGGGCGCAGGGAGGCCGGCTTGGGTCGGGTCTTCAAGGCCGCTGGGCACAGCCCGTGCAGGCGAGAGGAGCGAGGGAGAGTAGGAGAGGCCAGCTCGGGCCAGGCCTCTCGCTGGCACGCGGGCCCTGGGAGGAAACTTTGTGAACTAATTAATTATTTAGGGCTTAACTCGATAGGCACATTAGGCACAAAGCTAAGCACTGGTCTAAATTATTTACTAGCGTAACATTCAACCACTCATTCACAAGTTCACAACCCAATGACTTTGTGTTTCATCATGTAACCACAAATATACTTTGAAATGCAGTTTTCTGTTTAGTAATGAAACCGCAACAAGCTATGGTTTCAAATCCCTTTTGATCCAATCAGTCGTTCTTGTTCAAGATTCGTCGGAGTCTCGATTGCTATCGTCACCACTATACATGCCTGAAAACACAAACCAACAATGTAAAAAACCTGCGTATGAAGGTACGAGGGCAATAAACTATGAACGAGCACAGCGTATCATAATTCATATAAATACTTTTGCTGGTTATATTGAAATAGAAACTGAATTCGATTCCCCTCCCCAAATCGCTTGTCTCCGTCTAGTTTGGAGACACGCAAGTATTGTCATACTTCTTACTCAAACATAGGTGGAGATATGCAAGTAATGTATTTCTCACTCGAACTTGGAGATATGAATTGTGAGGCTGTTTATTAAGTGTTATATTTGCTTGTTAGGTCAACATTTACGGGTCTGAAGATTAATTGATCCACCAATGTTCCACCAAAATAGATGAATTAGCACAAGCATCTGAACTCCTTTGAATCTATTAAAAGATGTCTCCTTGTTCTAGCAATTTATTAATATCCAATCACGAGCATCCATCTGATACTCTAAGACTGACAACCTACTTTCTCTCCTCTTTTGTTCTTTCTCAAATCTAGTTCAGTTTGTAATGAATGTAAATTTATGTATAGTATATGCAGCAAAACAAAACAGCGTAATCAGAGGCTTAAAAACACATAAAACTGAATTATCCCACCAGCAGTAAACAGTTTTAAAAAGTAGAACACTCACCTAAGGTTTTCAGTAGATAATATTGCATGGACAATTGATTGCTAATTTGTTGAAATGCCATAACGGCTGCGAAAAGCATCAATTTGTTTCTCAAAGGACTGCGAAAGCTCAGCGATTCATGTTTTGCAACCTGAAAAGTATGAAATACAACCCAGAGAAAAAGTACTCAGAATGAATAACAGTAGTTTATACATTGTTGGCTCAAGTTAGATTGTTAGTTTGTTGCCAAGCACTTATAAATCTTATTAATGACTCATAGGAGGCAATTTATTATTTGTCACTCTTTTCTTGTTTGTTCAATCTTCTTTCTCTTCTCCGCAGTTATACAATATCTTGTTTTTGATCAATGATTCACTTCTTATAACAAAGGCAACTAGGCAAACAAGAAAACTCAAATGGGACAGAGCCTAAAACCCCACCTGAACAAGCTCCAGCGTAGGGCCAGGAACTAATTAAAAGGGAGCAGCGAAGAGAACGGAAAGCCAGACACTAAACGGAAAACAAAACAGCTAACAAACTGAAGAACCTAAGTTAGCACACTAAATAGTTAGCCATTATCGCCCCAATAGTTTTAATAGCAATGTGAAACTTAACAGATAAAGAAATGTTATCCAACCTGTATCACTTCGAACATGAGATTAGAAACGATTTCCACATATGGACACAATAATCACTCGTCAAACCCTCAAAATGAACGACGTCTCTCAAATGTTTTGATGATAATGCAACATAGAATGTTGGTTAGTAGAGATGATTGAATCCAGACTCCATCAGTACGACATTATTACCAAGACATTGTTAGCCTTATAAGGTTATACAATTAAAACACAAACGAAAGAGTGACTAACCTAATTCCAATGGCGGCCATGGAAGTTGAGCACAAAAGTAGTAGAGCACGGCAACACCATGATCTTCTATAAACTCCTAGCCGAATACAACTACTTTATGGGAAGCATTATGTTGTGTGTTCTAGGGCTTATAGGGACCGGTGTTTTTATATAGGCTAAAAGCTAGGGTTTCCATCCATAAAAGAAACCTAAACTTACTTTATTAGCCTCTAAGTCAAGTATCATAATCATATTCAATTAAGGATTCCATCAATCCTATTTCCAATATAAGACACCTTATATAGGACTGATATCTTTAAGAGATCAAATCACAATTAACATTATTCTCCAATATTACATTCCTATTACATGTAGTAGACCACTTAAAGGTTGATTTATATTGGATAAATCCAACAGACATAACTTACAAAAAATCCACATATTTTAAGCATGTCAGAGAGGTTTTAAACTGAAGACATACCACGAGAAGTGGTGGTCTGTGCATCTGCCATGAACTCTGCATATGAAGCCTGATAAAAAAGCAGTAGGATGCACTTGATGAATAAGCACTACAAACATACAATCAGAAGTAAGTAAACGAAACAAAGAAAGACTAGATTAATATACCGCCATTGCTTCCCGACTTTCAGTAATCCTTTGGGTCATCTTCTTGTATTCCTTATCTGCTTCATCCAACACTTGTTGGCATGCCTGGCTCTGGATCTGACGGCACAAAGAGACGTATAATTAGGTGAAAAAATCGTGCCCTAGACTGAATTCTAATGCTCCTCTTCCCTAACTATTACTACCCCTGAGTACTAGTTCATCATACAGCAGACAAAACCTTATATTAAATAGACATTAAGTTTTAATTATAATTAAGAATTAATTGGATTTACATTTATTTTGCTTTAGCAGACCTTATAACAGTAATGAGATTTAATTATGATATGAAAGTGAGATTAAATCAACATAATGTTATTATTTGGCGAAAATTCAAATTTCTGTTTTCTCAGGTATTTTCTCGGCAACCAAACAGACACTAATCCACCAACTCCGAGACTAAATAATGCAAAAGTACGACAACAGAGAATCAATATGAGAGAGAGAGAGAGACCTTGAATCGCTTGTGGAGGCGAGATTGAGAGGAATCAACATCCTTGAGGATCTCAGAGTGGGAGCGGTCGACATGCAGCTTGAGATCGTGGAGACAAGAGGAGGCGAGGAGCCTGAGATCAGGAATCGAAGCTAAAGCGTTACTTTTGGGGGATTCCATGAGCGCTGCAGCAACAGAGGCCAAGGCTCCTCCTCCGGCAGCGACGGCCGCCCTCTTGCGCTTGCTGCTGGTATTGAAAGTTGGCGATTTCGGTGACGGTTGGTTTGCAGGGGAAGAAACCACTGGAAATTGTAACCGCGTTTCCAGAAAGTTCGCGGTTAAGCATCTCCGGGTTCGACTTCCGCTTCTGCTTCCGCTTCCGCTGCTTTTCTTCATCTCTCCGGTCGCTTACTCGTCTTCTTTCAGTTTTTCCTCTCTCGGCTCTGTGTTTTGAAAATTTCAAATTTTCTAAGAAAATGGAGTTGGCGCCTTGACAGGTGTCTATTTATATGTACGGGATTTTATATGCAAATTTTGGGCTAACAAAATACAGAAATAAAAAATAATAATTGTATCAACCTTCATTGAATTTTATCATTTTCTTTTGTTGGATATTATTTGCTAACTAAAAGGTGAAGTTGCAAAATCTACACTAGAACGTTACATTTGATGCAAAGTAAAATGTACAGATGATATTTAACGAATCACATTATATCTTCAACAATCTTTATTATTATTTCAGTGCATCATGAGTAACATTGTATTTGGTATATTGTTTTAATAACAGTGAAGGTACTTGAAACACCATAATGACACCATAAAGATGTGTTTTGTGCATATTTGGAGGGAACTCAATTTGTCTGCTCCTTCACCTGAGTTCAAATTTCTCGTACATAAGGAATATCGCTTTGTCAAAAAGAAAAATGTGTTGCAAATTCAAAGAACTACGGAGTTTTTCAATTGCAAGCAAGGTATAAAATATCAATATTATCGGCATTATTTCACCGATAATATCTTTTTTGTGAGAAGACGATATTTTTACAATTATCCATCTAATTATCGTCAATATATCACGATATTATCAATATTATCAATAATATTGTGTGGACCATTGGCCCTCGTAGACCGATTAAGCTATGCATGTGGTAGTGTTGGGCTTTCAGTTTTGTACACGTCTTAACTCTCCTACATTCTTCAGCTGGCTGATGTGGGACTAGAATTGTGCTTTCTTGCAGAGTTGCAGTGCTATTTCTGACTTCGTACTTTAAGGGTGCGTTTGGTACGTGGGACGGGACGGGACGGAACGGGACGAGGCGTTCCGTCCCGCGTTTGGTGCGCCAAAAATGGGTGGAACGGGCTGTTCCACGGGACAGATTTTGAGTGTTTTTGCGTCCCACCTCCCCCCCTGGAACGGGTTTGTTCCACGTTTGTGGAACGCAATGTTTTACCATTTTAAGACAAATATACCCCATGTCTTTTTCAAAAATTACACCTTCGTTCCGTCCCGTCCCGTCCCGTTCCGTCTCGTTCCGTCCCGTCCCGTTCCGTTCCGTCTGCGTACCAAACGCACCCTAAGGTAACGGCATCTTATAGCTATCAAACCACAAAACTACATCTTATCACCAACAACCAGGAATTTAACATGCCATGGGATTGATCCATGAGATCAACCTGTCCTCTTTTCTCGTCCTCTTTCTGGCTGCATCATCTTTCAGTTTCCTCCCTAACTCGGTTTGAAGGATAGAGCTCGAAACAAGAAATTGAATGGGGAAGTGGGATCTGCAAAAGCTTTATGTTCCTTGACAAGTTTATGCTTCTAAATCGTTGAAGAGATTGCTGAATGCCAATCATTGTTGTGGTGAAACATGCCGGAACCATCTCAATCTGCACTAGTTTGATATCTTTCAGAAAGTTGAAGGTTTGCTCTAGCTAGAAAATGCCAAGGCACAACACGATTGGGCTTTTGCGATTTGGTGGATTCGCTAATCTCTGTCTCAAGTGCTGGTATATTGATTTACGACTCTAAATGTGAATGATTTTTTCGTTTTTATTTGTTCCTTTCTCAATACAAAGATGTTTTTTGGTGTGCTCGGAATATGAGCACATACGTCATATGTCATTATACAAGTGAAATGAAAAATTAAAAAAATTAAAAATACAATAAAAAAAACTTCCCTACACTTGGGATTATCCAACTCGCTACAGATGTGTTTGCTCGCTACAGATGTGTTTGTGATTACATATTCAACCTGTAATATTTATATGGTCGTTAAGATGTCTGCAAGGCTTGCAAGCTAATATTTATTATCTAGGATAAATTTCTATATTTAAAAAAACACCAAGGGGATTCGAACCCCTCCCATTTTACTCCATCAACACCTTGACCACCATATCACTTATGTTTTTTGTGGAAATATGCTAAAATACACATACTCTACACATAGAGATGATGAAGATAGTGAAAATTTTAAACCTCATAACAACTCTATGTGGTACTAAGTCAGTCTCGTATGTTATCATGCAATGTATAAATTGTAAAATATTGTACTAATTCATTATATATAAATGATTATGGTGTGTTTACACTTCTTTCATTAATTACTACATATTTTTTACACTCACAATGTTTGCCAGCTCGCTATATAATCAACTTAAATCAGTTAAATCCATCATGCAATGCATTTCCTTCCAATTTTTTGTGATAAACTAATAGATAATTGACTAAATAAACATCCTGCATAGTTTCAATAAAAATTTCCAAGTTTTTCTTATAATTTCCGTGGTTTTTATTCAATTTTTATCGATATCAATAATATCCTGATATTTCTATCAAAATTTCCGTGTTTTTGGACTATCGATATTTCCGATATCATCGATATTTTAGACCTTGATTGCAAGAAAGATTTGGCAATTCTGAATTCAATATAATTTCAAGATCTTTGAATCAAATGATGCATTAAAACATGAATTTGAAATGATGGAATTATAAAACTAGAACTCAGAAGTTATAGGAGACTAGGAGTTGGTGAAAATTCTTATTTTTGTATGTCACCTCCAGGGAAGGACATGCAATATACATCCCTCCTACGAGTCACAACATGCATCCTACATTTCAAAGTTTCTGCAAATGTCCTCTCTGGATCTGTGTTCGAGCAATGCAATTGTATACCATAGCGAGCAGTCATCGCTTCAACACCAACGTCCTGTAGACTGCAGTAGTCAGTATACAATGGGTTTGCATGTATATTGAGGACTTACTAATGTCTTATGGAGCCAACACCCTCCTGATTAGCACCGTGAAGATCTGGGAGGTCAGCACTGACGGAGAACTTCATCCACCTCTTTCTCTCGACGTAAGTGAGACAGGGCTGCATCACAAGGCCGATCAATATAGCGACAAGGCTCACAACCACGATCTTAAGTGTCGAAAGAGCCAAAACTACACAAATCAGTATGGTTGGAGGAATACACATAAGAATGGCTCCAACTGTTCCAACGGGTATCTTGTAAGGACGAGATGTAGCTGGGTACTTCACCCTTAACCGTATGAATGATATAAACTCCAAAATCATTCCAAAACAGTATAAGAAGTTTTCTGCAGCTACAATCTCTTGGAAGCTCAACCAAGATAGCAAAAGGACTCCAGAAGCTGAGAACAAAATGCCAATCACTGGGGTTCCATGACGAGACCGCTTACCAAAAAACTTAGGGAGCATCCCTCGTTCTGCCATCCCAAGAAGTTGGAAGGAGTCGCTGCTCATTTCAGCAACAAACATCCCCATATTCGACACTGCTGCAGCCGCTTGGATCCACCATCTCAACCAAACTCCCCCAATAAGTTTAGCGATATCTGAGAAATATCCATCTGTCCACAACTCACGGTCGAGTGGAACAGCCCCAGTACCCATTAAGAGCGGGAAGAAATATCCAAGAACAACTAATATCAAAGCATAAAACAGAGCCTTTGGGAGAATTTTCTTTGGGTTTTCTACCTCTCCGGCAAGTGTACTTATCGAGTCCCAATAGTTTAGATTCCAAAAGAGAGTGTTCAGATATAAATTCCAATCCACATTGTGTAGATTTACGACTAGCCATCTCGAAGGCTTCAGCTTGGGGATTGCCACGAGTCCCATAACCACAAAAGGAACGATTGAGAAAATTCCTAAAAGAACAGCAACCCAACCCACAATGGTTAGACCCCTATAGTTCATGTAAGTGAGCAACAATGTCAAAACTAAGACCGCTGCAACTCTTGGAACGCCACCATCTAACGCTGGAATTGCCGACTTCAAATAGTCCAGAAACAGAACCGGATACAAAGCATTGTCAATAACCCCGCTTAGCCATTTCATCCAACCCTGCTGAAACCCCCAGTAGGGACCCAAAGCCGACGAAACCCAAACAACATAACCCCCAGCCTCAGGGAACATGGTACCCATCTCCGCGGTAATTAAGGCCTCCGGAACACTCCAAATGAGTGGAAAGACCAAGAACCCGACGAGGGCTAGAAGCGGACCAGCGGCCTGGACGCTATCCTCAACCCCAAATGGACCCCCAGATACCTCATAGAAGATGATGAAGACAAGAGGCAGAAGTGAGAGTTTTTTGAAGTTGTCTACCCGAGGCCTAGGGGAATGTACTTCACCAACTGAAACAAATTCAGCACCGTTGCCGTTGCCGTTGCCGTTGGACTCTCCCATTTCAATGGAAGATTGCCTATTTTCTTCTGTGGTCCTCAGTTTCTGCATTTTTCATAATTTTTCAACATAACAATATTAATTCGGTTTTCACTGGCATACTTTGAAGGTGTTTATATATACAAGAGCATACATTAATTAACTATCCTCGTCAATCAAAAGTTCAAAACCAAAGTTCCAATTTTGAAAAGTGATATTCTACAGTAAATTATATAACAGTAAACTAAGAGGACGGGGGTTCAAAATCTGGTGACACTAACTGAAGTAACTTGAGATTTCACCGTAAAATCAATCGGCAATATGGAGAGTACGTCCCATCAATCCATGGGATTCATTCTCTCAACACTAACTTCTGCCTAATCTACCAAGTTGAACTCACAGATTAATCAACTCTGGAGTTGTTTTCAATTTAAAGAAATTAATTAGCAACATAAATCAAAATAAAAAAAATGGGTAATTACAGTAACATGAAAATACACAACCAAGTTGGAAGAGTCGCTTACAAAGTGCAACAAAATTAGATGTTTGAACAGAAAAAAATAATTATAGATGATCATAAGAAAGAAAAATAAACAAACCAGGAGTAGGAAAACAAGGCAACGATTTCAGCTGGGTTGGGGTAGACAATCTCCGCCATTGAAGAAGAAAGAAAGAAAGCTCCAGGTTTTACACATCAGCGGCCCAGGGAGGAGAGACAGCCGATAAGTCAGCAGTGGCGGTAGGCTTCGAGTGAAGGCATATAAATTATTGTGCGTGCAACTCAAGGTCTTAAATTTTAGTCCTTTTTAAATTCATGAGAAAAGGGGGATAGAAGAGAAAATGCAACCTTTTAATGCTTTTCCACGTGCTAGTTTCAGTTACCAAAAAGTTTATTTCACTTTCTTAAAAAAAAAAAAAAAGTTTATTTCACTTGTAAGTTAGGCATTTTTTATTTGATTTTAATTAGTAATTAACTAGCATTTGCTTACACATTTTGTATGTATGAACATATTTTTTTAGAAAATGAGAATGAGAGAGTGAGAGATAGAACGTGGGGAAGTGGGAGGTTTTTGTTTTTGGTTATATTTTTTTAATATTTGAGGTATTTTAACATCATCTGTAGATGAGGTTTCAATAAAAAAAATTTTGGATCTATGAAATTACATTATTGCCCATCTTTTTTTTGTGTGATAAAAGACTAAGTAGTCTTTTCACCATCTTTTCATCATGTTTTGGTTAACAAAAAGGTTTCATTAATTAATAGAAATGAGAAGTTCAATACAAATTATTGTGGCAGATCCGGGATTGGTTTGAGATTGCTCAAATTTTTTTAAAAGAAAATTGTTTGGTAGATGGAAAAAAAACTCTCTTTTTTTTTCAAAATCATGGATGTATATCGGCTGAAAATAAAAGCGGCTCTGCCTATACTTTTCAAAAAAAAAAAAACTTTTTTTTAATTTTTTTATAGAAGATAGGAGAATGGTATTATTTAATGAAAATTTTATATTGTGAATACTACCCTTTTTTTTTGTTTTTTTGCTAAAAATACTTTAAGCAGTTTACTAAACACCCACATGTTTTTTTTACAGTGGTTTTTTTTTTTTAAACTATATTGCTTTGGCTAAAATCCAATCGTCTTCAATGTAGATATTCTTCAACTCTAAGGAGTCTAAACTCATTTACTTCAACACGTCAGCTAACTTTTTAAAGACTTCATTTTGTATGACGCTTTTGTGGAACATAATATGTAAAAGCACTAACATAGATAGGGAAAATTCTATTGTAGTGGATTGAGTGTAAGCGTTAAACATGTAAAAGCTTTAACAAAGTGTTGACCCTAGAAACTACAAAACCTACGTGGCGCGCAGGCCGAGTAATCTATAAGCTAACTACGTCCTTCGGTGATTGCGGGGCGTGCCAACTCGTCGGCCGAGTCTGGCCGAGGAGTAAATTTATTGATGTTGCGTTGGGTGCGCGGCTGACCTCTGCGTCTTGCGATTGCGGCCGAGAAAGGAACACGTCTCGGCCTCTTGGGCTCTCGAACCTGAAGACAAGGTTACTATTTTTACGAAGTTCAATATCAAATTCGGCTTTCAACGTGCCGAATGTAATTACTTGTGACACCTCACTTCGCCGAGAAGGCTGATGAGATGACCTCGACCAACAAGGATTCAGAAATCCTTCTCGACCGAGACTTGGATAGGTAATCAATCGTTCTCGCTGCAGTGTTGTTGATGCTAACGGAAGATACTGCGAAACCGACTGATTCTACGGTGACAGAGCTATCTATGCCGACTTAAGATATCACCGGTTGCTTCCACAGTGCTGTTGATGCCAACGGAAGATGTGTCAGCGAAAAAGGAAAAAGAAAAATCACAAGTTGTGAGAATTTGCGCAGGGCAATTTTGTATTGATTTGCAAGGGTTTCTCTGACGCACAGCTTCCCCTATTTATAGCGTTGTATCTTGAATTCGAGTTAAAATCCTACTCGGACTAGGTCTTCCTCTCCGGATCAACACCACCTCGACCAGTCCTATCTTCACTAGGATTGTGAACCTAGTCCTTAACTGAGCCGAAGTCGCTTTCTAGGTTACTGATCCCACCGGGACTCCTCATTGTACTAGGACTCGACTTGCGTTATGATCTATCCGACCTAGGCTTGGAAGCCCACGAGTTGAACGATTCATGGCCCTCTCGCCGCACGGCTTCCCGGGCCGAGGATGATCCTACCTTCGGCCCAAACTATTATTTTGGGCCCAAACACAAAGATAGCGAAAATTCTATTAGTAGTCACAAACGTCATTTCAACAAGGATAGCGAAAATTCTTATATAAAGCGTTGTATGTGTGGACTAGAGTCAAACTGTAATTTAATAGTTACAGATGTTGTTATATAGTATACACAGATATTTTTTTAAAATCTCAAAAGAGGAAGTGATTTTTACACATACTTTTTAACTTCTTACACACACCTCTTTATATATTGTCATCGTCCGAATCAATCAAACAAAATTAACAGCCAAAATTAAACAAGAATGTACAAGAGGCTAAAATAGACGTGAAAATCAATTTCCATCTCAAAAATAGATGCCCAATTCAGCATCTGTTTGCCGAACAGCATAAATCTTTATGAATTAGCTTATGCCCTAGTTTGTACGCGGAATCTGATGCATCCACACCACTATGCTCTTAAAATAGTCATCAGGGTATGACACATACTTTCATCTCATGAGAAATGGGGTGTATTCCAGCCTTTACGAATAATGTATATTTACTTAATAAATTTATTAATTCGAACAGTTTAATTTTTATAATTATTATTTGAATATTATTTACAAAAATTATTAAAATCTGAATTATAATATTTATACAATAAATTTATGTTATTTGTAAATGGTTGAATACGTGCAAGTATTATCCTTTTGCATTTATGTTAGAAGGAGTTCTATTATGCATATACCTATAGTATACCACCTAATTATCATATTTCCTCTATGAGAGAGAAAGAAAATAAGGGAACCCGCGAATATTGATACAACTATTAACCAAGGAAAATTATAAATGGTAAAAACAAGAGAAACTTAGATCAGAAAAATCCATGCCGAAAATAAATAGTTTTTGTCGGTAAAGGTAAAAAACATCAAGTAGGGTAAAGTGCAAGCAGATTTTTTATAGGGAACCGATAACTACACTCCTTTTATCACCCTTCACACGGTGTTATTATTAATATTGTCGATTGATTTCATTTGTTTTATTTAAAGTGAATGCCAAAAACAAAAACAAAAAATGTGTGTATTTATTATTTATTTCACCCAAACGTATCCTTTCCATTTGGATTTATTCAGAATTTGTATTAAATTAAAATGATCACATTATCTCATTTGGCAAAGAAGATGAGCCAAGAAATTCAGAAAATTGAAATTGACCAGAAGAAAAAAAAAAAAAAAAAAAAAAAAAAAAGAAAAAAAAGAAAAAAAAGAGAGACACCATGGAAAATGATGGCACAGCAACGCAGTATGCTGAAGAGGAACGACTGTCCACACAGAAAGACAGAAAAATTGTTTTGTAAACGGAAACGATAAGGTAAACACATTTTCCCAGAATTAATTAAACAATTAATCTCATATATACCTGGTCATGGCTGGCGTCAGAGTTACGGTGATCGGTAGTCTGATTGTGTGAAGCAGCAGCATCTTCTCCTTCTCCAGCAGCAGTGGGAATAATACTTGTAGAGAGAGAGTTGCTGCCGCTGCTCTGCTCCTTCTCCTCCTCCTTGTGCAGCACCATCATAAGCAGCGGCAGCAGTAGGAACAAGACTACTTTGGTTAATTGCCTATCTGATCGATATACATGTATATATATAAGTACATATTTCCAAATCAACTTTTAAGAAGTCGAAATTGGCATGCTATCCAAAGTTTTCCCTTAAAATTTCCCACTTTTTCTACCTTTTTTGTTGGAAAGACACGTTTATTTCATTCATCATCGCACTATATAATACTGATGAGTTTGACATACGATATTATGAATCAAATCCAATTTATTAAAGAGACTGAATGAAAGTGCTATAATATTTGTGAACATGAATAACGTTACTGATCTTTACGGACTTTAATTTAAGTTTTTTTTTTTTTTCTAAAATGATTTTTGAGAATGACATAACTCGTCACTTTGATTACTGAGATTTGAAATTAATAGGAGTGGTCCCTAACTTTACACACCATCAATCATTTTGGTATTTCGTGAAAAAATTTTGTTAAATAAAGATCAAAATGATTAAAATACCATCAATTTAATAAACAATGGACTTTGTTATTTTTTCTTTATTTAACGGAGATTTTTCACATAATGACCAAAATGATTGATGGTAGACAAACTTAGGAACCAGTTCTATGTTAGGGACCAAAGTGAGGAGTTATGCCAATCTCGGTGACTATTTTGGCTAAAAAGCCTTAATTTAATGTGTGTATAAGAGAATCGATTTTGCTCAACAGCGCATTTTTTTTAATTGTGTTACAATTGAAATTTAATTAAATTTTAATTACTTAAATCTCAATTGTTCACGCATGAAAAAAAAAGTGTGTGGAGAGAATTTTCATCATAAAGTTTACTCTACAATGGTGAAATAAAACGAATGTAAATGTGGGGTGTAATTTGCTAAGCCAATTTCCTTTGGACCTCTACCGAGTACCAAGCTCAGCAAGAACAAGGTAAGCCATATTATACCAATTGTAATGGAACCATGATTCCAGTCACAAATGGACTAAGTATGACATGCCCCGATTCCGGTGTCTGAAGGACAACGGGATGGCCATGTGTTGGTCGACACCGGAGGTGACGCAAGCGATTTTATGAATGCATATGTCGAGGACATGTGAAACATGCATAAAAATTTCAAACTACGCAATATAATATTCAAATACAACCTTCACAAAATAATATAATAAGTTCAACTGCCAACAAAATAATAGTGATAATGCACGACATGATCAGAGCATACTACTAATTCAAAATACAAGTGGAAGGTGTAACAGAAGGTGCTATTAAAAGAAGAATGTCCAAGCGGAGAGAAGGACACAAAATCACTAATATGGGAATGCCTCGTAGCTCGGATCGTATGCCTCATTCCTAGGTCCTGAGGGGGCGCAAAACAAAACATGAGTGGATCAAGTTAATATATAAGTAATACTAAAACAGTTATTCATCAATATACTAACCCCCAAAGTTTATGAAAACTCAATAGTATAATAGGTAATAGGTTTTCCGAAAACCCTAGCATGCCATAAAACTTCATAAACATATATCATATATAGTGTGCTTAATAGTGGTATTAGAATCGCCCGAAGGCCTTCATTCGCCCGTAGGCCCCTACATCACCCGACTGAAGCCATATAAATATTTTCATTCGTCCATAGGTCCCTACATCACTCGACCGAAGCCATATATAGATATCATTTGCCCATAGGCCCTCATTCGTCTGTGGGCCCCTACATCATCCGATCGCAACCATATATAGATATCATTTGCCCGTAGGCCCCTACAGCACCCGACCGAAGCCGTATATAGATATCATTTGCCCTTAGGCACATAGTATAAGTAACCACTTAATAAGCACAATAAAAACATGAACATAATATTTCCAAAAAAAAAAAAAAAAAATATATATATATATATATATATATATATATATATATATCAACGGAACTCAATAGCTCAAACATCATATCTTAAATCATATTCGTGAATATCTAAATAAGCATAAATTTAGTGAAGCATGAATCCAATTTTCTCATAAACATTTCATAAAACGTATCCATAAAAATCATGTTTTTCATGTATGCATTTCTAATAGTAAAATCATGCATTTTAGAAGGGGTCCACCCACAGATACTCCGTCGTTGAAGAACCTTGCGAACTAAGGAAGACGGAAACGCCACTAAAAAACACATCTAAGCACATAAAGGGACCAATTAATAAAACTATACTAAAACGATTGAATTTTGGAAAACTAACTTCATAAATGGATTTAGGATGTCAAAAAACCTAAGGGGGAACCTCGGGTACCTCCACGCGTCGCCATGGAGCAGCAGCCTAGACCGCCACTCACCGCTACCCGCCGAGTTGGGTCGCCGGCGCCGTCGTGGAAGGCTGCAGAGCACAGTACTTCCTGTAGAGGCGCGTGTGCTCCACGCGCAGGCCTACGTGCGGACTGGAATTTGGGTTAGGCTTGGTTTATGGGCTTAGGTCAAGGGTTTGGGTTTGGGCTTGGCTCAGTGGACTGGGTCTTTGGGTTAGGCCAGTAGCATGGCCCAAAGGTTTAGGCCGGGTAGCAGTTGGGTTTGGATCTGAGTTTTAGGGTTATCGGGTCAGGTCGACCCGATTTCAGGCCGTGGATCGGCCAATTTCTGGGCAAACTTTCAAGCGCTCATAACTTCTTCAATGCTCAACCAAATCAAGTGATACAAAAAATGAAAGTTGTAGTTCTTAATAGGATGAAGAGAATGGTACATTTCACGATGGCTAACTCACCGTGGATTTGCCAGAAAACGCCTCGAAAGTGGCAGTGCTAGTCGAAAAACTCACTCTGAGCTATTTATGCGTTTAACAAGCTTAAACAACTTACAACAAGCCTCGATCTAACCTTAAAACATATCCCAAGGGTTTCTAGGAATTTAACCATGTCGGAAAATTCACAAAAGTCATTGGAATTTGTCGGGGAATGGTGCACCGTGATTGTCACGGCTGAAGTATCGAGTTTGGCCTAGGGTTTTGAGGTCCAACATCCAAGCCTTAAGTCTTGGGGTTGTTGTTGTTGTTATGAGAGTGAACTCAGAGAGAGAAAGGAAATGAGATCGGAGAGAGAAGGCACGAGGAGAGTTAAAAGGGAAGGGAGAGAAAGTGAGGATGAGAGAGATAAGAAAGTAAGAAAATCTGAAACGTAGGGGAGAAGTATCTGGATTGGGTAAGGTTAAGGGGACAAGAATCCCAAGTGGGTCTCCTTGGTTCGTAATTTAAGAATGCATAAGACAAAACACAAAATATCTGAAAACGTTTGACGGTTTGAACGTAGAATCTTCGTTATACATCAGAATTCGAATCTATTCACGCCTATGCATTCATGATGATGAGTACGATACAAATAAATTAATTAAATTAAAACTACATGTTTTGATGAGATGGTCAACGAAAGTCAACTCAAAGGTACAATGGTAATTTCATAAATCTGATAGTAAAAAATACGATAAATCGAGGACGGGGTTTCACAAAGTGTCCAATCATAGTTTTTAATTTTTGTTTGAACAAAATCATAGTTTTTAATTTTAATTATTCAAATACGTGCCCGTTTGTGATTGGTTTTTCAGCAGCAGCAAGTGCTACTTTTCTTTCAATAGCAAAGCATGGTCCAATGTAATGCTTATGTTAAGTTATTCTTAGGTAGTGCTATTCTCACACTCATTTTTATCTCTAACACACTTTTGTTGATTTTTGGTCATTGATCTTCTTCAATTCCTTCAATTTGACGACCAAAATTTCAGAAGAATGTATGAAAAGTAAAAATATAAGACTCATACCTGGTTAGGTCTCAAGTGTGGTGTCAGAGTTACACTCGGTAGTCTTAGGGTGTGAATTAGGATGAGAATCATGAGATGGAGGACAAACTTCTGCTTCTGCTTGAGCAGGAGCATGAGCAGGAATCAGATTCCTTCTAGGCTTCTCCTTCTCTTTGTGCAGCATCATGATGAGCAGCAGTAGGAATTGAAGCTATATGCTCACAGATTTGAGACTTTCAAGTAAAAATTTTTGTCAACTTATATAAGGAAGTTGATGGACTTGTTTTGTTCTCTCTCTCTCTCTCTCTCTCTCTCTCTCTCTCTCTCTCTCTCTCTCTCTCTCTCTCTCTCTCTCTCCATCTTGTTTTGGCATGAATTTGTCGTTTTGCTATTGCACTTAAAAAAAAAAAAAAAAGGGACGAGCTAGGTAGTCCACCCTTTTAGAGGTCGAAAAGACTCACTGAGACATTTGAGCCTCCTTTGATCACTATTGTGCGATTCGCCAGCGTCAGAAAACGAACTCAAAACGTGCCGTATAAAACACAAGTCTAAAATTCGTCTGCAACCGCTGAGTCACCCAACCGCCACGGGGTGCTTAGTTAATTCGTCCATTGTTCCCTTCTCTAGGCCATGCACTAAGGACAAGGAGACAGTAATAAAGCACTCACAAATTTGGCATGCAGTTGAGTATTTCCTTATTTTCTCTCTTATTTTCTGCTCTTTGTTTAATTTTGGATAAAATTACATCTTACTACTTCAATGTTTGTCACATAGCAAACTCATACACTATTTTTTAACATTAGAATGTCATATATTAACTTACGAATTTGTTGCAATGTTAGACCTTTATCTCATTGTCTATCAATTTATATGTTAGCTGCTAAGGTGGCAGGGACAAAGCCCCTGGCCAACTAGATTGAAAAATTCATTAAATATTATAAATTAAGAAATTTTTTATCTGAACAAAATTAAACTTAATGAAAAAAAAAATCTCCTTGCTTCTCTCTCTCCTCACTACCCAAGACAGAACCAGAAGAATCGAAGCACCAAACCTAAACCCTTCTACATTTGCAACCAGCTTCAACACCTGCAAATTCTCACACGCCACAATCCCACGCAGCACATTGTTGCTGTACTTGTGCAATTCAATCACCACAAGCTTCCGCAAGTTGGGGCACCCACATGCCAACCCGTCAAGCCCTCTATCAAACTAGGCAACAACCCCCTAAAACCACCTTATCCCCTAAAATCACTGTTTGTCAACTCCACTAGATTTTGGCGTTAACAACCACTCAAATTTTATAACCTACGATAGAAATATGATTCTTATATGAGTTTAATATAGGGTTGTGATATCCACACACCCCATTTTACTTCTCACACACCCTTTTAATTTTCGACCGTCAGATCGAATGAATTAAAGAAGATCAACGGACAGAAATTAACAAGGGGGTGTGTGAGAAGTAATTTGGGGTGTGTGGATAGCACACCCCTTTAATATATTGATTCAAGACGTTTGAATCATATTGATGGATTTAAACATGAAATTTTAAATGATGAAATTATAAAATTAGAACTCAGAAGTTATAGGAGTTGTGAAATTTCTTATTTTTGTATGTCATTTCCAAGGAAGGACATGCAATGTACATCCCTCCCACAAGTCACAACATGTTAAAGGAAAAAGAATTCCACTAGTTGTACAGCCTGGACAGAAGGAATGTTGCACATGGATACAACATTCCTTGACAGCTAGACTACCACATGGTTTCTGCACCTGTGTTCTGGTTGCTGCATCGTGGGCAGCAAGGACACCACTTGTGTTGCATTTGTTTATTGCATGCGTGTATGTAACAGTGTATATAAACTCTGCTGTCCATTGCAGCAAGAGATAGATAATAAAACATTATTGAATACTAAGTTTAATATGGTATCAGAGCAGGATTAATCCTTTGCTCTGCTCTGCCTTCACTCTTCCGCTACTATACTATGCACAGGGACACCTGCTATTGCACAACCATTGCACTGCAAGCTGCACACTCACTGCCTTGCCATCGCACAGCTACTACACAGTCATCGTCGCTGCATTACCTGCTACGCATTCATTACGTCACTGCTCCGCCGACTCAGCTTCACTCAAACCAGTGCCACCGAAGCAGAAAATAAAGGAGGAAGCAGGCAGCAACCAAATCAGCTTTACAAGATTGATACAAGCCAAAAGCATCCAATCCATTTTTCTATTCACATTCTCGTCTCCAATTGAGATAATCATTCTACTTGGCGTAGATCACTTTCTGATACCCAATATCAAGAAATCACATCCATCATGAACAACAAGAGAACTGGGCAGCCAACTGCTTAAACTGGTTATGGAAGCCAACCATTGGCTCAGCCTGCATATGGCACTGAATATGGAGCACCTCCAACACGAAAGACTCTTGCAAATCCTGCAGTTTATGGACAAACCGCTCAGTCACCTAGCACTCCAGAAGGCTATGGTCAGCGAGCACCTCAATCACAAACCGCCAACAATCCAATATTCACAACCAAGGAATACAGTCAACTCATGGCTCTCCTTTATAATAAGAACGATAAAGATCAACCACATGCAAATGCAACAGGTATTTTCTCACCCAAATTCAACATAGCACAAACAGATCCACACTCGACTATATATTGGATTGTTGATAGAGGAGCAATCGACCATATATCGCATTCACTACCAACACACAGCATCATTAATGCTCAGCATGAGTACGTTGGCTTACCAAATGGGGAGCAAGCAGAAATCAAACATATCGGTTCCATGAAATTGTCGCATGATCTCTCTCTTGATAAAGTTCTTCACGTACCAAAGTTTCGTGTCAATTTATTGTCTGTTAGTAAATTGACAAGAGCTTTGCATTGTAAAGTGACATTCTATCCCAATTTTTGTGTTATGCAGGACATGGAGACGAAGAGGGTGATTGGCCTGGGCAAGCATTTTGATGGGCTTTACTACCTCACATCAAGCCAAAATCCTCACCTAGTTAATCATGTTAACCGCACCTCAGGACTTTGGCATCAACACCTTGGACACCCATCATCAGCCCCTCTTCACTCTTTATCCCAAGTCATCCCAAAAATCATATTTGATTCCAAGCATGTTTGTGAGGTTCGTCCTTTAGCAAAGCAAACTCACTTATTTTTTGTTTCAAGTTCCATAAAATTGGTTGCACCCTTCAATTTGATTCATTGTGACATTTGGGGACCACACAGAGTTCATACACACACCGGAGCACATTATTTCCTAACTATTGTAGATGATTTTACTCGCTTCACATGGGTTCATCTCATACGTTTTAAATCCGATACACAAGCCTTGTTGAAATCATTTTTTTCTTGGGTCAAAACACAATTTAATCGAGAAATTAAAGCTTTACGTGCCGACAATGGGGGTGAATTTGTATCAATGCATGCATTTTTAGACACTCATGGCACCATTTTTCAACATACTTGTGCCCACACTCCTCAACAAAACGGGGTCATTGAGCGCAAACATAGGCACCTTTTGAATGTTGGTCGTGCATTACGCTTTCAAGCCAATTTACCTTTAGAGTTTTGGGGGGAAAGTATTCAAACCGCTTGTTATCTAATCAATCGTTTACCTACACCCTTGCTCATGCGTTTTTGGATGTCTAAGCTATGCGACCAATCTCACACCCACCAATAAGTTTGACATCCGTGCTCGTCGTTGTGTTTTCCTTGGTTATCCTATTGGCCAAAAGGGTTATAAGGTATATGATCTAGCCACACAAAAATTTCTTATCTCACGAGATGTAGTATTTCATGAGCACGTTTTCCTTTACAATTCCTCATCAATCATAGACCAAACCGACATGACACCAACTCCCATTATTCATGAGCACGTTACTCCCATTATTCATCCCACACATGACACCAACTCATCATTAATCCCACATCCCACGGTGCTTACTCAAACATTCCATCATAATGAACCTGAGTATTTCCCACCGACCAACCTTGAAGCTTATCGACCCCACTTAAGCCTCCCCGTGACACCTGCCAACATCGACACACCACATGAATCTGACACCACCGACACACCACATGAACCTGCCACTTATCACTTGCCGCAACTCTCTTCCAATACGTCACTCCACTCGTCCTACCAAACCACCTGCTCACTTCAAAGATTATGTGGCTCATCACTCCACCTTGCTCACGCCCTCAAAATCCCTCTCTCGGTCCATGTCCAACACGCGATACCTACTGCATCAGTACGTTTCCTATTCCTGCTTATCTCTTGGATATCAGCGTTTTATTTCTCATATTTCACACTTGGTGGAGCCTACTACCTATGAGCAAGCTTGTCAAAATCCTCACTGGGTTGCAGCAATGAAGGCCGAACTCACTGCTCTAGAAGACAATAAAACCTGGAGTTTTGTCCCTCTTCCGTCAGGACAACGACCCATCGGCTGCAAATGGGTTTACAAACTCAAGTACTAATTTGATGGCACTCTTGAATGTTACAAGGCACGTCTTGTTGCCAAAGGTTTCACCCAACATGAAGGTATCGACTACAAGGAGACCTTCGCACCAGTAGCCAAACTCATTACTGTGCGTTGCCTCTTGACTGTGGCTGTTGTCTGCAATTGGCCCTTACATCAAATGAACGTTTAAAATGCCTTCCTTCATAGTGAACTTCATGAGGCCGTCTACATGTTGCCTCCTCCGAGTTGTCATCGACAGGGGGAGAATGTCGTATGTCAACTCCACAAATCTCTATATGGTCTTAAACACGCATCCAGAAGTTGGTTTCGAGAATTCTCTAAAGCCATATGTACCATTGGTTTCTGCCAATCCAAGGCAGATTATTCTCTGTTCACTCAAGTCAAGGGTACTTCACTCACTATTGTATTATTATACGTTGACGACATGGTGATTACAGGCAACAATGAGGCATAAATCAAGAACCTAAAGGCCTTCCTCATCAGTCAATTTCGAATTAAAGATCTTAGACCTCTGAAATATTTCCTTGGAGTTAAGGTCGCACGGTTGAAAGCTGGAGTCACAATCTGTCAATGAAAATATACATTGGACATATTGGAGGAGGCTGGCCTTCTTGGCGCCAAACCCACGAAGGTCCCAATGGAGGCCGATTTGGTCCTAATTCCCGTAGGTAGCACTTCAATACATGAACCTGCAAGGTATAGGCGCTTGGTTGGAAAATTAATTTATTTGACCATCACAAGACCAGAGATAGCATACACTGTCAACACGTTAAGTCAGTTCATGCAAGATCCACAACAACACCATCTCGATGCAGCGTATCGACTTCTTCGATACCTCAAATGAGCCCCTGGACAAGGCTTAATGTTCTCTTCCTAAAGTGAATTGCATTTAATTGGTTACTGTGATGCAGATTGGGCACGTTGCCCCATTACCTGTCGATCAGTTACTGGTTATTGTATCTTCCTTGGAAAGTCACTGGTGTCCTGGAAAAGCAAAAAAGCAAGTTACAATAGCTCATTCCTCCGCTGAAGCGGAGTATCGATCTATGGCTGCACTTACTTGTGAATTAAGTTGGCTGCAATATTTACTGCCAAATTTACGTGTTAAGCATCCCCAACCGGCAAGGTTATTTTGTGACAACCAAGCGGCTTTACACATAGCTGCAAACCCTGTGTATCACGAACGCACAAAGCATATTGAGATCGATTGCCACACTGTTCGTGAAAGGATTGAAAAGGGAGAAATGAAAACTTCCTATGTCAGAACAGGAGAACAAGTCCCAGACTTGTTTACTAAGCCACTTCGTGTGCCTATTTTTCATACACATCTAGGCAAGTTGGGCGTTGTTGACATTCACGCTCCGACTTGAGGGGGAGTGTTAAAGGAAAAAGAATTCACTAGTTGTACAGCCTGGACAGAAGGAATGTTGCACATGGATACAACATTCCTTGACAGCTAGACTACCACATGGTTTCTACACCTGTGTTCTGGTTGCTGCATCGTGGGCAGCAAGGACACCACTTGTATTGCATTTGTTTATTGCATGCGTGTATGTAACAGTGTATATAAACTCTGCTGTCCATTGCAGCAAGAGATAGATAATAAAACATTATTGAATACTAAGTTTAATACAACATGCATCTTACATTTCAAAGTTTCTGCAAATGTCCTTCAAGCATGATATTTTTTAAACCAAATTCACATAATTCCCTAGTCAATTAATGTTACAGATAGTTCAACATCTAATCAAGCATTTCCATTGACGATCGTCTTAAAAAACACAGATGATAACTAGCTATCAGTCAACATCTGCTATGGACTTGAGCGTGGTCATCGCTTCAACACCAACGACACCAACGACCTACAGGATTGAGGATACAATGGCTTTGCATATTTTGAGGACTTACTAAAGTTTTATGGAGCCAACACTCTCCTGATTAGCACCGTGAAGATCTGGGAGGTCAGCACTGACGGTGAACTTGATCCACCGCTTTCTCTCAACGTAAGTGAGACATGGCTGCATCACAAGGCTGATCAAGATAGCTACGAGGCTCACAATCACGACCCTGAGTGTTGAAAGAGCCAAAACTACACAAATTAGTACAGTTGGAGGAATACACATAAGAATGGCTTCAACTGTTCCAAAGGGTATCTTGTAAGGCCGAGATGTAGCTGGGTACTTCACCCTTAACCGTATGAATGATATAAACTCCAAAATCATTCCAAAACAGTACAACAAGTTTTCTGCAGCTACAATCTCTTGGAAGCTCAACCAAGATAGCAAAAGGACTCCAGAAGCTGAGAACAAAATGCCAATCACTGGGGTTCCATGACGAGACCGCTTACCAAAAAACTTAGGGAGCATCCCTCGTTCTGCCATCCCAAGAAGTTGGAAGGAGTCGCTGCTCATTTCAGCAACAAACATCCCCATATTCGACACTGCTGCAGCCCCTTGGATCCACCATCTCAACCAAACTCCCCCAATAATTTTAGCGATATCTGAGAAATATCCATCTGTCCACAACTCACGGTCGAGTGGAACAGCCCCAGTACCCATTAAGAGCGGGAAGAAATATCCAAGAACAACTAATATCAAAGCATAAAACAGAGCCTTTGGGAGAGTTTTCTTTGGGTTTTCTACCTCTCCGGCAAGTGTACTTATCGAGTCCCAACAGTTGAGATTCCAAAAGAGTGTTCAGATACAAATTCCAGTCCACATTGCGTAGATTTACAACTAGCCATCTCGAGGGCTTCACCTTGGGGATTGCCACAAGTCCCATAACCACAAAAGGAATAATTGAGAAAATTCCTAAAAGAACAGCAACCCAACCCACGATGGTCAGACACCTATAGTTCATGTAAGTGAGCAACAATGTCAAAACTAAGACCGCTGCAACTCTTGGAACGCCACCACCTAACATTGGGATTGCCGACTTCAAATAGTCCAGAAACAGAACCGGATACAAAGCATTGTCAATGTTAAATATTAATCTTTTGGTTATTTTACTTGGGAAATGAAAATTTTGAATGCTACTGTTGAGGAAAATAAGAGCTAATAAATGTTAAATAAATTCATCACTTTAACCAATATTATAATTTAAAAGTAATAAGTTAAAACTTTTATACTACAAATTGTTCCTTATTTTTTTCACTTGAAAGTTTTGAGGCTAGAAGCTTAGAAAACATAGTATAAATTTCTTGCTTCAATTGTTACTTTCAGGTTTACTATTATATAATTTTATATAGATAACAAAAGATTGAAAAACTGATTTCATAGTAATAATTTTAGCTTAACCCACCAATCAAGTCATTCCTGGCTACGCCATTGAATTCCAGGTGGGTTGGGGTTGCTAATTTCCACCATTGAAGAACAAAGGAAGCTCCAATTTTTACACATCAGCGGAGACAGCCGACAAGTCAGCAGTGGCGGTGGGATTTGACCAGGGCAGAGAGTGGAATAACTTTTTAGTTAAATGAGTGGAAAGACTTTGTTTGTTTATCAATTTATATACTTTGTCGTGCAACTCAAGGTTTTAGTAAGTTTTCTTTTTTCTGAGGAACAAATTGGCTGGGGGTTGTGGAGGCAGGTGGCGGTGGGATTTGACCAGGGCAGAGAGTGGAATAACTTTTTAGTTAAATGAGTAGGAAGACTTTGTTTGTTTATCAATTTATATACTTTGTCGTGCAACTCAAGGTTTTAGTAAGTTTTCTTTTTTCTGAGGAACAAATTGGCTGGGGGTTGTGGAGGATGATGCTTTAGGGCTGCTTTTATTTAAGAGAAGTGTTATTAACATTCTAAAAATCTTATTCTACATTTCTCATAAATGTATTTTTCTTTCTAAATATAGAAAATTTGGAGTGTAGAATGAAATTTTTGGAGTGCCAATAACAATTCCCTTAAACAAAAGCAACCCTAAAGCGTTTAGATTTCAACTTAAGTTTGAACTCTTATAGATACAGTCATTAGGGCCATTAACTCTACTTTTCATTTTGAAGACAATTTTGTGGAATTGAGATCCATTTTGGATTTCTATGTCTGGAGCCGAAGGACTCGGAGATCTAAATTACTCATTCTAAAATTTAAATAATGCCCACTTCACACAAATCAAGGGTCTGGATATCTCTTTCTCTCTCTTCAATGGTTTAGATCTCTAAGTTCTTCGACACCAGATACAAAGATCCAAAGAGAATATCGACTCAATTTTGTGTGTAAAAGAACCTATATTTATCATAACGACAACGCTAATTATACACACAAAATCAATATACATGTTGATACACGTTTCAACGAGAGTGTTCATCTATATAGAGGATGTGTTAAAATGTGTCAATTTTTTGCTTACAAATAGTATTATTGTTATAAAAATAAAAATAAAAATAAATAAATAAATAAATAAAAGTTTTAACATAACAAACAAAATTTGAAATGTACTAATAGCAATACGTTGTTTGAGAAAAAAAAATATACTCGCTCTGTCATCCAATAGGAAAATAACAAAGTCAGCTCCAACAAAACAATGAAAATTCTACTATTTTTTGTTGTACAGCATAATCGAATTAATGAAACATTTTGTATGTTCGTTAAAAACCCTAACAAACACGAATGTGTTGATGTATGGTATACACCCATACTACTAGAAAGAGAAAATTGGAGCATTATTACATTGATTTTATCCAATTAGAGCTTTAATCATTTCACTAAAATCATTAAGTACTGGTCTATGAACTCGACATGGTGTTAAACAATAGTCTTTTTGGTTTAAAAACTTCCCTATCTTATTTGCCCATTAAACTCTTTATTTTAGACGAAAATTTTAGTGTTAGCACCCGAAAGTATATCATACTTCATGTTTTAATGAATTCATAAACCAATACCACGAATTTTAGTCCACATACCAAACCTTCAATTGGTCTAACTCTAAAACCTAATGACCTCTAATTTTTTCTGAAAAATGTTAAGAGACTTTCTAAAAAATTGAACTCTTTAATCTCTCTGTCACTTCATATTTTTAACACAATATTTTATAATATTAACACAATAATTGACGTTAAACTGTAAACGGTAAAAAAATTCATAAAAAATCCCGTTTTAAGAGAATTCACTCATCATTTATCTTGGGAATTGTTATTGGCATTCCAAAATTCTCATTCTACACTCTAAACTTTCTATATTTAGAATTAAAAAATACATGTGTGAGAAATGTAGAGTGAAATTTTTAAAATACCAATAACATTTCCCTTTATCTTTCGTATTAGTAAACCTCAAAAAGTAGATACCGAATTTCAGGTGGTTGTTATACAGCATTAAATCAGTGTGAATTAGTGGTGTAAAGCACAGTACAGGTGCTTTAGTTGTACGGGGAATCTGATGCGTGCACACATTATGCTCTTAAAATAGTCATTAGGTTAGGGACGCAGACGCACCAATGCGGAATTTATGCAAACAAATTTTCCCAAAAATATCAATCACATTTGGATTTAGATGGAGACAAGTTTTTCTATTTTATATTTTTTTAGACGATGATATATTTAAATTCGGTGAGAAAATAAATTTATCATTCACACGTAAAAATGCAGAAATTTAGATCCAACAAGACACGTATGCAAAAACTTGTCAAACATGCAATACCTTTTTGTTTTATTTATTAATTAAATTAAAAACAATGTGCAATATCTTTGGTAGATGGATCGGCATTTAGAGGTAGTAGTTAGTAGCTACAACTAAAAACGTAACTTTGGTCAATAACGTACTTGTATTAAATATGGGGGCCAATCTGTCATGATTTTGGTCAATAACGTACTTGTATTAATTTAGAGGTAGTAGTTAGTAGCTACAATTAAAAAAGTAACTTTGGTCAATAACGTACTTGTATTACTTACATTAAAAAACTAGCACAAGCAAGAGATAGACCAAAAGATTTCTCATAAACAATCGATAAAGTAAACGCTCAAGCAAAAAGAGAATTGCAACTCTAGATACAATGAGAATCCCATACATAGGCACGAAGGTAGCAAAAAAAAAAATATAAAAGAAAAATCCTAATTTGAAGCGGCATAAACCAAACATATATCACCACCACATCTCAAAGGATGCCAAACCCTGAGAAAGTAGATAGCAATTCCCAAACCCATTCATGAATCCCTCAAATCTATCCATCAATATCACACGGAATATGCTTTTTCCATTTTTAAAAATATATAAAATAAATAAAATAAAAAACTTTTTTCCATCACCTTAAATCAGTTCTTACTTTCCTTTCTATTATTGCTTAGAAAACTGAAGACAAAATATTTTCTTTTCTTTTTTTTTTCCAACATCAAATATTGAAAATGTCAAAATTGGATTTATGTCGTGGGGTAGCAACTTGACAATGTGATTGTTAATAAATAAATTATTGCTTAAGTGTTGATTTTTTTTTTTTTTTTTTGTCAAACGATAGATTTTATTAAATTAGTCACGTGCTTATTCTATTAGTATCAACTAGAAAAAATGCCCGCGCAATGCTGCGGGGCTTGAATGCATCACCTTGAACTGCATTGTACAATTAACAGGACGAAATGAAACATTTTAGTTCCCTAATATAGAAGAAACAGAAGTAACATATAGTTCACAGACATGTTGCCCTTGTAGCCAAGGTGACAAAATATATATCTTCTCGGTTAGGTACATGTTTGAGTAGTTGACCAAAAAGATAAAGACTGTTTTGTTCTCATTCTAGCATCTAAGTTTCCAAGCACAAACATGCAAAGCAAAGAACATGAGGTGTTGAAGCAAATTGGGTCTTGGGGTAGTATCGGAATATTTCTTTATCGTTCCTTTATTATTTTCATCGTGTCGAGCCTTAATCAATTCCCTTAAATTTTTTACCAAAACGCCTCCTAGAATTTGTTGTTCGCTTCGATCAATCTCTTTCACCATTTTATTAACCCTGAATGACAAATTAAATAGAATGTTAATATTTATGTATTTTAGAAAGAAAAATATAGTTAGCTTGTAGGTCTTAAAATAACATTGTAAAAGATTTTTAAAACTCAAATATAGAAGCTATGAGTTTTTTGGATATAAGTTAGGTTTGTTCGGAGAGAGAAGTTATTAATAGCACTCATTAAAGTACTTTGGGAGGGATGAGAGGGTTGACTCTTAGGAAAACCTAACGAAAACACCAACAACACCAACCAAGAAAGCAATTGACAAAAAAACATATAAAATGGCTAACAACATTTGACTAAGAATTAGGAACACCTGGTTAAAGCAAAATCACAAATGACACCAATGCACCTTTGAACAATAATAGAACGGTTGAGACTAAATTAAAACCAACAAAAACAAAGAAACCAATGAACTCGAGAAGTATCAAAGGATCACAGAGATAACCAAGAATGAGAAACAAAGCAAAGAGCAAACGAATGACATAAGCTGATAAAATGAAACAATCAATTCAAAAATTATAAATCTGCATTATCTCAAACAGAAAGCATGGGGAAGCAATGCATCTTAGTTTAGGTGACATACCAAAGCCTTGATTCAAATGCAATAAGTCCGAACCCCTAGATCAAAGGCACCAAGAAGAGCAGATCACGACGTTGTAATGAGACTTTGATCTAAGCTACAACAAATCTGTGAGACTGAGAGTCAGAATTTGAAGCGCAACCAAATGGACACAGAAAAAGTAACCCAATCTGCGATAGTGCAATGGACTCTACCTGTGACAGTTCAACGGACTTAATGTACGACAAATTTACATTTCACGAAAGAAAAGCTGCTAACAATGGGAATGCATCATCTGTCACCATATTAATTTAAAGGCCCAAAGCAAGCATGAGGTATCCCAGTCGGTTCTGAATTAGTACAGGGGTTAAGAGTGTGAGAACGTTGGTTTCAGAAGGAATAGGTTAAATAGAGCAAATAATGGTTCAATGTGGAGTACGGTTGGTAAAAATTATGGGGTAGCAGATGATTTTAGTAGTTGAAGTAAAAGCAAGGAGGGATACATCATTTCCAGCAAAAGTAAATGGCAATGACAGACTACCAAAAGTATATAAATGATATAATATAGGTTAGAATCGTTGGACCAAAAGCATATGGTAATGACACACTACCAAAAGTGTGTGTGTGTGTATATATATATATAGCGATTACTAAATAAGAAAACAATTTCATTCCTTTCAAATCTTAAATGTATATATAAGCATTCGTTAAACTTCAATGGATGCTTAGTTATCTCAGCCTTGACATTAATAAACAGATACAGATACGCACACTAAATAGAAAGAAACTCAGTTCCAATGTAAGCTCAAACGACAAAAATTGAATTATATATTTAAAATCTAAGCATCAAAGCTTCACAAATATAAATTAAAAAAGGTAGATAGCTAAATAGGCTTTGAACAAAAATGATGGCGTATAATTATATACCTCAAAACAGGATGAAACCAACTTCTTTCTTGAATGATCCAAATTTATAAAATCTGCAAACAATGTAGATTTGTTAGCAACTTAGAGACTTTCAAATTTAAAGAGCAAATCTAAAGAAATTTTAGCTAAATGACCAAAGATAGACCAAAAAACAAAGGAAATTTACAAATATGATGAATTACAAAACACACATACTGAAAAAGCTCACATTTATGATTTTAAATCTTTGAGTTATGCACCCATCATACCTTGGATGCCTTTGGTTAAGATATTTAAATTTTAATCTCTATAGTACTTTTGGTATGCACTGGTGCAAAAAGTGAACAACAATCAAAACTGGCAGCGAGGAAGGTATTTGTTAAATGCTCATAGATTGGTATTAACATAGCAAAAAAGATAGTGATATATGTGAGTTTTCGTAAGTTTTGACTTGATTTTAGGCATTTTAAGTTTGGGGCAGAGTGATAGTGGGTAAGAATCAACTAAAAAATAAAGGAGAATAAAAAGTATTAAACACAAAATATTACATGGCAATGAGAATATATAAACACACACAATATATTACCTTCCAAACATTCACCTCTCAGAAAGACCTTGAAATCCCCACAAAGTTGTCCAATTTCCACCAGAATCCAGCTTCTTACAATGTAGATTCCTTCTGGGTAAACCACACAAACCAAAGCACCAATCAAATGAAGTAGCTTTAAACATAGGCAACTTATGAGTTCTTATCAGATAAAATCGAAACAGAGAAACGGGCAACTATATTACTCGGCAAAGATATATTGCTCAATAGAAATAAATAGAGTAGATAATTTATTTGCGCTGAATTCCCAAGTGCTATTAAACTATCAATGCTCAGAAGATAGCTAATGGTGAAAAAGAAGCCTAACCTATATAAAACAAAATGAAAGGCTATATCGAAATGAAAGCCTACTAGGTGCAAAGATATATTGCTCAGTAGAAATAAATAGAGTAGCTCTGTCCCCGCATGTCTCTGAGTAAAAAATGAGAGCAATTGTCTCTCTCCAATTTGTCAGGCGTGATGTTCCCCTCCCCTCTCTCTCGCCGAGTCAAACATGAAATGTGGCAATTTTGTAAATTAAGTGAAAGTGGGTTAAAAGCATCCGAGTGGCTATCTTGTAAATAAACTGAAATGTGGTCCAAAACACTGTTCATATAAATAGTGCAAATTTCCCTCCTACTTTAGACTAAAGTAATTTGCAGATTTATTTTAAAATTTTCATCTACTTTTACGCTTAATTAAATAGTAGGAGAACGTGAAGGGAGAATCTGAATGCTTATATATTACAGCTTACCACCTCCTTCCCCATCACACACGCCACTCACACTCCAACGTTTATCCAAGCGAACCAGAATTCGTCTTGCAGATCAACCAGATGGGTTTGAAGGTATGCTCTCATTCTCTCCCCTTCCCATAAACATCGATTCAATCTCATATTATCAATGAAAGATCATCCATTTGTCGTTAAATTTGCTACTTTTCTTGGGTTTCAGTGGTGTGATTAGTTCAGATCTGTGTTCTACTTTGTTTGTTTTGAATTTTATGAATTGGTCAAGGTAAAGCAGCCAGAATTATAGTTAATTATCGTGGGTTCTCTTTAATTTATGTATTTTACTTGTTTTGCGTTTATTTGGGATCAAGATTTTGATCCTGGTATAGTAGATCAGAGCTCTTGTAAGTTGTAACTAGTGTTTATCACTGTGACACCAATTAGTTCAAATCCGGATGTTATTAACGTACAGATAGCCGTCTAATGAGGGTTTTCGACTATTTTCCCTCCTTACTGCTTGCTTGATTTCTTGAACTGAATGTGAAATGACGCAGTGTCTAAGATCTGTGATAAGCAGGTTGAAATCTAAAGTCCAATCTACTAGTTTCCAATGAGCTTCCCAAACAATATTTATCAAAAGCCATCATTTGATAAGTGTTTTAAAAAAAGGAGTCTTGAGGCGTGCCTAGGCGGCCTTCGAGGCGGGGGACGGTGAGGAAAACGCATCTGCCCAGCTGAAGTAGGCTTAAACTTGCCTTGGCTTGGTCGAGGCGCGCCTAAGCCCCTGAGGAGCCTCAAGCGTCAGCTGGGGCTTTTTTATTGTTTGTTAGGGTATCTCACCTACAGTGAATAAATTTTTTATTTGATTGTTTATTATTGTTCTATAATGTTTGATTTTGACTTTATTGTTGATTATAATATATATTTTATATATATATATATATATATATACACACGTTAAACTCCTTGACTTCGCATTCACCTTTTAAAACATTAAACCTATAACGTTATTATTCATAATTCAATTGTTTATTATTGTTCTATAATGTTTGATTTTGACTTTATTGTTGATTATAACATATATATATATAACTTTGGGTTCCTTGTGACTTCGCATCACGCCTCAATGCTTTCACTTAGGCGGAGCTATCCATGAAACTCCTTGACTTCGCTTTCACCTTTTAAAACATTAAACCTATAACGTTATTATTCATAATTCAACTGTTTATTATTGTTCCATAATGTTTGATTTTGACTTTATTGTTGATTATAATATATTATATATATATATATATATATATATATAACTTTAGGTTCCGTGTGACTTCGTCTCACACCTCAATGCTTTCACTTAGGCGGGGCTATCCATGAAACTCCTTGACTTCGCCTTCACCTTTTAAAACATTAAACCTATAACGTTATTATTCATAATTCCATATACTTCGTGTTGCATTAGCATGTCTATGACTTTCAAAATTATCGTAATGAATGGGGTTTGCATATCCCAAATTGCTTGAGGAAGCCGAGCAAGTTTTAGTGTCAAATGTAGGCAGCTTCGACTTTGGAACACTCTTAAGGCTAGAGAGTAAAGAAGCTCGGTATATGGTCGGGTCCTTTTATGTTTATTGATTTGGGAATTGTGAGTTAGTTATACCTGTCTAAATCTGGAACACTGTCTAAATTTATCGTGGAAGTAAAGCGTATTGTGTTCAGTTAAACACGTCCAGTTATAGATCTGGCTAGTTATAAGCTTGCTTTTGCGGCAATAAATTGTCACTTCACGATAGTCTGAATGTATGATCTGCTTCCTAATGTAATCAATTACAAGAGAATTTCATTGTTTTGACTAGTATTACATTGACAGTAAAGTTGAACACAATGTGCACATGTGGAATGCATATCTACCTTCTAGGTGATAAAATCTCCACTTGTTGAATGCGTAGCGTTTATTTTCATTTGCTCATCCTCCGATTTCTTTTGTCAATGATGGATGGTTACTTGTTAGTCAACTGAAGTTCCACAGTTTTTGGCGTTCTTAGCATCCGTGTTTATAAAGTTTCTCTATGACTTTGTTCTATATGCTTTTAATCGGAACAACGATGAAAGTTTTTGTTTTGTATGACATTTGATGATTTGGGGGTCATGCAGGAGGAGTTTGATGAACATGCTGAGAAAGCCAAGACCCTTCCAAAGTCAACAACCAATGAGAACAAGCTCAATCTCTATGGACTCTACAAGCAAGCCACTGTTGGAGCAGTGAGCACCAGTTAGTATAATGCTCCCTTGAAAATTTTGAGAATCTGCTATTTTTCGTTCTCTCACTTGCAATACAAATTTTTCATTTATGAGTTTCTTTGTGGCTGACTTGCAGGCCGCCCGGGAATGTTCAATATGAAGGACAGAGTAATGTGGGATGCATGGAAGGCTGTTGAAGGTGATACTTCTGAGCATATCATTTTCTATTATATGTAAATCTTCGTCGTATAATCTAGCATAATTCTAAGGTATAATTTTCCGTGTGTTCTAGAATAATTCTAACGTATAATTTTTCGTTTTGGCAGGGAGATCCAAGGAGGAAGCTATGGGCGACTACATCACGAAGGTGAAGCACCTGCTTGGAGAAGCCGGAGCTTCTACTTGATGCTTTTGTTAGATGGTGTTTGAATCAAAATAAACATTGTACTCTTTCGTACTGGTACTCTCTTATATCTAAATGTGTGTGAATGTTAAATCTACGAGATACTTTCGGTAGAATGGTTTTACTTATTGTTGGTTTACAATGCTTGAAGGAGTTTGCAGTGCTAGTGAATTTTAGTTGCCCAAATTGCTTTTACTAATGCATTTGTTTTTTTGTTAAACAATAAATTTTGTTAGATTAAATATTAGATTAGCTACCGACCGGGTTTAAACTCACGCCGTCATGTAAGAACTCAACACCTTTCCACCACTATGGTAAAGGCCAGGCGCCTTTTACTATGCTTCTAAGTATGCTTAGTTTTGTAACGGACTAGCTTTTGGACTCTGATACTTTTCCCAGTTTTGGAAAAGATAAGTTCGAATCTCCGCTCCGTATTTGATTAAACAGAAAAAAGTTGTCTTTTAGGTTGTTTATACACACAATTACATTAACCTGCACGTCCATCAATATTGCTGCATCTTTGTAACTAAGGTGAAATTCTATCATGTTGTAGGTAGTGTTCAATATTTTCGTCAAAATATCCAAAAAAGCAAGGATTGATATGGAAAGGGGGAAGTGTACAAACTTCACCCTATATCGGCAAGATATAGGAAAATAAATAAAAATTAATGATATTTACCGATTCACTCCAAAAACTTTGCCAAACTCATTGCAAATTTCAAACTTCTAATTTTTTTATTATTTTTCTTCTAATTTTATCTAAATTTGAATGAGTTGATATACCCGTTCAATTGCATTTTTTTCTAATTTTCATCAAAAGCAACCGATATCCATCGATATTTTCATAAAATTGCATATCGATATTTTCACTTATACTTTCATCGATATTTTAAACACTGGCTGAAGGCAGCTTCCAAGTTCTAAAATATCAAGATTGCCACGTTGGGTTGATCAGGGCAACTCTTCAGAGCGAATAGTAGCTGACATTGTTCTTAACTTGCTTATTACATTGGCAAAACGGGTGAAAGTACACTAATACAAAACGAACATTACTTTGATCCTTCCTTATAACGAGTCATTTCTTCCCTCTTACATATTTTTTTGTGTAAATCGTAGTTTGATACGTATAAAAATCACAAATGACATGTTTAGGGTAAGGAGAAATGAAGGGTTTCATTCTCCACAGTCCACAGGATATTTGTATTTTTGGTCAATTTTTTTCGGAGGATTTTTTTTTTTTTTTTTTTAAACCTCTCACTTACAAGTGAAGAAAAATACTATTAGATCGTAGTAATAAGTGATCCGCGAAGGATAATGTTAAGCATTGTTAATAATTGCTACGCAGCTACCAAAAAGATAACAGAGCTTGAACCGGAAGAAGGTAGTTGGACTGGTCGATTCCCAAGGGAAAGATAGGATTGACGGGTCAACATCCATCCAACTGATAACTGTTTCGAAGATAACGAAAACTGGGAAACAGGGTAGTGGTCCACATTTCCTACTGGGTAATTGAACGAGAAGAGTCATCTTCAGGTTTATTAGAGTAATGTTATTCATACCATGTTTTTATACTATATTTCTATACTACCGTAGGTGATATCTGATGTGAATAGACATATCATTAGAAGAATTTGCAAAACACAAGGAAATGAAGGAGAATGACTTCTCGTATACTGTCATTTAATTAACTAGCTTTTCTTAATTATTAATTTATTAAATAATGAACTAAATTTAAGAATCTGATTAATTCAAATAATATAACTGTTCACATCAAATGTCACCTAACATAGTATGAAAATGTGGTACAACAACATGATATGAATAGCATTACTCGTTCGATTAATAGAATTTTGTGCTTATGATAGAAATTGTTAATTTTGTATATAGAAAACTTCATTTTAATCCTTGGCAAAAATAACTTTTTTATTAAAACCATGAGTAAGATCAAATCTAATTTTAGTCCCTTGATGCATTAATAACCTCATTTATTAATTATATTTTGATTTTTTTAATTATTTATCTTTTTCTTTCTAATTTTTAATGTATTAATTTTATTTCATTATAATTTTTATTTTCATTTCATTCATCGTAATATATTTTGTTGTGAACATTTAGATAAACTAATTTTTGTTATACAATATATTTCGATGTAATTCATCATCTTCATTTAGGTATATTAAATTCATTATAATACATTTCGGTACATACATCTAGATACACACATTTCGGTACATACATTTCGATACAAACATTTAGGTACATTAATTCAATATAATACATTTTTGGTACTAACATTTCGGTACACATATTTAGGTACATTAATTTAATATTAATACATTTCGGTGCATATATTTAGGTAAATACATTTCAGTACTAACATTTAGGTACATTAATTGAGTCTTTCAAGTTTGAAGAATGTTAAATAAAATTAATAAATTAAAAAACTCTTTTTTGGTCAAAAAATAAATTAAAATTTGTGTATTAATAAATTTAAATATTTAATGGGAGACATTAAATAAAATGCACATTAATTATTTTGAATTAAGGACACATTAGGGACTAAAATCAATATTTAATCTAACACCAGGTTTTTTTTTAAATTTTAATCTTCTTGAAGGATTAAAGTTCAAAAATCCCTTTTGTATATCATCATGTAAAATTAATTTTTGCCAAAAATTAATTAAAATATGTTTTTTAATCAATGACTAATAAATAGATAGATAGATAATGTTATGAATGATGTTTCGCTAAGAATGAGAAGTTCCTCCTCAAAGCGCTTTTTTACTTATTCACAAAATTCTGTGTTGGTGATCAGACTTGTTACTATTGTATATCATTTTGAACATATTATCTCTACAAATAAAAAATATAAAAAAAAACTAAAACAAATGTCGTTTAGAATGAACTGTAATAATAGAGAGACAGTTTGTTATACTTTTACCGATTTCGACGTGTTTTTATACAATCCGAAGGCTAAAATATCTCATATTTTATTTATTTTTTACAAAAAATGATATCACAGATTGATTTATAATAAGGAATTTCAAATATTGAAGTTATTTTTTTTAGAATTTGTGAAGTTTCTTATTAAGCTAACTCGAAAATAGAAAGGAGCTAATACAAAGTATAATGCGTATTTAGATTCATCCATCTATAAATGAATTGTGGTAATTGGCTTTCATGCTAGTGGAAGTGGAGGTGGTGGCAGTCATGATGAAGACAGTGATGGTTGTTGGGTGGTGGGGGTTGCGACGAGAATGATGGCGGTGCTCATGGTCATGGCTAGGTGACGACGACAACAATGATGTCACTGTCTTGGCCATGTGATGGTGACGGCGGAGATGATGGTGGTAGATAGGGTTGGTGGCAACAGTAAAAGTGGTAGAGGCGCATTGGACGTGGACATGCAAGAAGAAATGTACAGATGCTATCATAAACAAAGTGGAATGATTTCATTTGCACCAGGAACCAGGATAATTACAAAAAGTGTAAAACAATTTGGGAGAAATATTTAAGTTCATATCCACAGATCTACTGAACAAAAGGATATCTAGAGATACAATATTCCCCTACACGAGAAGCGCCATCTCTAGCCAGAATACCTTCAAGATCTCCGATGATTCGGGCCAGCCATATCTCCAAATTTCTTTGTATTTCTTTCAAGTTGTTTCTGACTGAATCCAAAGACCGTCGTGTGTTGTGTTTGGCCTGGTTCCCCAGCTCGTCCCCATAAGAACTCTTCCCAATCTCCGTTTGTACTGCCATCAGCTTCTGTCCGGTTTCCGTTGCACGCTGTTGAAGTCTAAATGATTCGAGTAAAAATTCTGTTTGTCTTTGTGTACGAAACTCTGGACTGAGTGTGGGTTCGGAGGGATCACTACCTTGCTGTAAAAACAAGAAAATTTAGCGAGCAACACAACCCAAATTGTAGCCTGTCAAGCATCCCCGGAGACAAGCACCGAAAATGCCACAATTCAAAACAGATAAAGAAAATGTAGAATATGGGGCGACTGCAGAACTTGTACTTGCCCAACGAAGAATTAGTTCATCCTACACACGGGGTGCAGCGATAACTAAGTGAAATCAACTAAAAGATGTCTATGGTTAACTAATTATTCCGTTAATTCTTATCAGCAGACGTAAAATAGCATGGAAAAAGTAAAACAAGGAACATAAAACACTACCATTCTTCTGCACAGATCGTCTATCTTCCCCGCAAGAGCTTGATACCTCTTGGTTTGCTTCCTCATCAATGAAGGTACCTTGGAAATATCACTCTTTCCAATAGTTTCCAAATTCAGTAATTCCTGTTCAAGTAATTTTAGCTTCGAGGATATTCTGGTCCACTCACCATCTAGCTTCCAAGGCGACTCCCTATGAAATAAAGACGTGTTGATCTTTAATTAGCTGCAGAACATTAACTAGCCACCTTAGAAATGATCAGTAAATAGGCTGTCAAATACATACCTTGGTACAAAATGCTTCATGTGATACAACGGTTCAAGGGATTCATACTGTACATCCTGCATACGGAGGACAAAGGATAAATCAAGCTACATACCTTTCCAATTTGATAAATTCGGAAAAGAGAACATACGCAACATAACCTTAATAAGAAAAACTTCAAAGAACTAAACCATCAACGCGGTGAAAGAAGACCACACTGGATTGCGTTTTAATAGTTTCCAATTGTGTTTGACGTTTGATTGCTCAGATGGAATCTCTTAAAAAGCAATTTAAGTTAAACTTTCACTTCAGAAAACAGGAAGTACGAACAAAGAAACAAATTTGAGGAGACATGAGGGAAAAGAAAAGGACAAGCTTTCTTCTCTTTCTTTCATTTCTCCAAAAAGCTAGAACAATTGATCAAATCATTGCAGAGAATATTGGTGTTGGAACTTTACTACAGCGATGAGTGCCAAAAAAGTGGTGAACTTGAGATGCCAAGTTACATAATTTCGGGATAACGATTCGCTTTCCATATGGAAGCAAACACATGCCTTCCAAATCCAAAATTGCAACTTGTTTGGTAGTGATGAAGGAGACAATGCACCTCCGTATTGCAACTTGTTTGGTAGTGATGAAGGAGACGATGCACCTCCAAATTGTAACTTGTTTGCTAATATAGGATGCTAATGATAATAAAGCTTATTAGCTACGCCCCCTAGAACTCTATTTCTACAATG